CCCAGTCAACGACCCTTCACCCTCCCTGCCCCCCCCCCCCCCCCCGAGAACAAAGTAGACAAACTTGTTCATTGACATTTAGTTACCATCAGAGGTCTTAAGAACAGAGACGTGGAGCTGACACATTTTCTAAGCATTAAACACTTGAGCAAAAACAGGCTGTCAAGCCAGAGCTTGTGTAAACAGCATCGCTCTTGATTGGTTCTGAGCTGATTTTCAAACAACCTGTCAATTTGATTAGTCAAATTTTCTGCCCGTAGTAGCTCCTTGAAAAGGGACCGTAAAATGCACTGTTTAAAGGATCAATGAAACTAAAGTGTGAAATATGTTTTCTCCGAGACACTGTACCACAGAAATACTGCCTGAGAAGTTTTTGTTTCCTAGTGGATGAAGGTTAACCATAACCCCTAGGGACCATTGAAATCATGCACGTGCTTGTTGGATTCAGAATGGTCAGGATTACGCCAGCGTACTAAAGAGTGCCTCTTACTGATGCTTATACTGCAGTAAGTTTTATTTCCGACATTTCTTGGTAAGAATGAATTGTTTTTGAATTGCTCTGCTGGTCAAATCTTTCAGGGCCAGGATGGAGAAAACGGCCAAACAGGGCAGCAAGGCCCACCCGTAAGTCACATTTCTGTCATTTTTAGCTGTTTTTTTTTTCCTCCAAATTTTTCGTGGCATATTTGATGCCAGGATACCTTGACCTTAGTTAAGCATTTGTCCGGCGTTTCCTTGATGGAAACATGTCGCAGCATCATCTGATGCAAATCGTACAAGTAAAAGGACATGGCATTTTAATCCAAGCATAATTCCCCCCCCCCTGTCTTCCTGATGCAAGTTTTGTTTTTCCTGTCGTAGGGCTCAAGGGGGATCAAAGGAGCAGCTGGTGAGAACATGCTGACTGGGCCTCAGGTGAGTGGTCAGTGCAAACCGTCTTTGAAGGAAGAAGCATTCGTGAAAAAACAACTACTGTAGGGGTAAAGACATTTCTCTAAACCCAGTTTCTCCTTCAAACAGCAGGGCCCGGACTGCATCTCTTAGAGGGTGATCCATGGAGATGGTGCCTCCACCTGAAACTAAAGCTACTTCACCGGTTTTTAGACCAGCTCTAAATTTTCCTGATTTGTGTGGTTTTTCGATCATACAGGGACCCAAAGGACCAACGGGTTTGACAGGAAATGATGGTGCAAGAGGACCAACAGTGAGTATCTGGAGTTTTTCCCTTATCCCCCCCTCCCAGCTATTTTTCCTCATTTTCCAAAACGACAGGAGCTCAATTTCTCTCAATTTCTATCAGTTCTAGCAAATGCAGTTTGGATTTCGTACGACATGCACCTACAATCTGAAACTATATCCTGACGTAGGTAATTAGGCCACTGTTTTCCCATTTGTGACAGTCAGTGTTTTGAGCGACCAGTGTGGAATGTATTTGTACTTAACAGGGCCCTCCGGGACTTCCGGGACTTGTAGGAATCGTGGGACAAAATGGCGCCAAGGTAAAGGAGAGATCTTGTGAACAGTGCAAATGAAAGTGAACTTTATAATTGCTATTGTTTTCGCTTCTTAAAAATCACGAGGAATTGAAATACAGTTTATTAGATGAAGGTGCATTTTTATGCAACACAGGCGATTTTCATCCGGATTGTCAATTTTCTGTTAGCGTTTGGACATTTTGTCTTCCACAGGGAGATTTAGGCTTGGTAGGGGATGAAGGAGACACAGGCAGGGCAGGAGAAGAGGTTTGTTGAATTTGCCATTTCTTCTGGAACCGACTTGTGCATTACACCAGTGTTGGTAATACTATAAATGAGTAGTGACCTACTATTTGAAACTGCTCATCTAGTTTTGTTCAGCCTGCCAGCAGCCTTGAGCAGCTTGATGTTAGCATGGGGTTGAAATCTTTTATACAGGATCTGCAATGCCTACTTTCATGGGCCTGCTAACCTCAAAAGCCTGGGCTTTATGCTCACCAGTCCACCCTCACAACACTAGCACAGAAATACTCTGCTAACCTTGTAAGCACAGAATCCGTTATTACAGAATGCATTTCCGAACACATAACCAAATTTCCTTGCCAAGCCATGAAAAGCACCAACGGTTGGGCACAGAATTTCTTCCACATCAGGCTGAGATTCTGAGGTAGGCAGAGCTTCTAAAGTTAGCAGAAATCAGAGATTTACCACTGTTGAATGACTTTATTATTGCCTGCTTCCATGATGTCCCTTCTTTGCAGGGTCTACCCGGTCCCAGGGGTCGTGAGGGGCCAAGTGGATACAAAGGAGCGAAGGTAGGGCTTTGTATTCTAATGCGTGACACTCTGCACTGATAAAAAAGTATTCCTTGACAATGGATCCACGCCCTTCTGGGCAGTTGTCTCATCTGCTCTACCTCTGAGTTTATTCCAGTGCCAGTACAAGTGGAATTGTCATTGTGTTTGTTTTGTGTTGCATTTAATGAGATTTGTTTGTGTCTCTTAAGGGTGAGCCTGGGCAGCATGGCCAGCCAGGGGAGAGAGGTGATGTGGGTTTACAGGTGAGTCTGCGTCATAATTGAACTCCTGCACTCTGACCCAAGCGGTCCTTCATTCTTGTTTTTCCCCAACTGGCTACCTAGCTAGGCCCAAATTTGTGGCACCACTAAACCAAGGGCGTCAATCCATTTTGAAAAGTGGGGGGGAACATAGCCCTGATCCGAACAAATGCGAGTGCGGTGTGGGGCCTGGGGCCCACTCAAAGGCCCTGGACAATTTTGGAGTATAGATGCTCTGTGGTGTTATCCGAGATAATTTCTGGCTACATTAGCCATTTTTTTTTAACAAATGCTTTTGCAACATTTAATTTTTCAAGTAATTTTTCTTCTTGATTTTGCACATGTGTATTTATATATATTGTGTTGGGGGCCATGGGTTCATCTTTCCTTTTGTTTTCTACCTGGGATGATTGCTCCAGTCCCATTAAAATTTACAAGAATGATTTAATTTTGTTAACAAAACCAGATCTTTTATCTGTACCCAATTTTATCAAGTTCCATTTTTATGTTTCTTACTGTCAAACGCAATGTTGCTCTGCACAAATTGTTATACTCACATATTGATTTTTGCCGTGAATCCTTTCTGAGTCTCTCCAAATTGAAATGGTAGTAACTTAAAATTGAGGAAAATCTAACCTTAAAATTTGCCAAAAATCTGCCTACGACTGTCTAAGGATAAACAATGTAATTAAGGCAAGAGTTAAACCAGGAAGCTCCCATAAGGTTTAAATAAACAAACACTGTTCTCATCTTTAAAAGGTGCACCAATGCAACAAGTGTCGTGGTGAATGGGAAAGTTTAAATAACACTTTCCATTTTTTTCATTTTTTTAATTTTTATTTATTTTTGTTTGTTCAGGAACCATTTCATGAGCTTGTCTGAAATACAGGATCAAATATGTAGACATTTTCATTTCGGTTTTGGAGAAAAGCGGGGGGGGGGGGACAATTGACATGTCCCTCCGACCCCACCAATTGATGCCCATGCGTCTAACCACAGAATTCTTTGTTAAAGAATCAAAATGCTTACAGTTCTAGCCTAGAAATTTGGTAATAACTCTATAAGCATAGAATCTGTTGTCATAGGATGTATTCATGTGAATTAGCTAACTTCCTCACTAACTTGTGAAATTCACAAACTGTTGCTCAGAATTTTTGCTAGGTAAGCAGAGATTTTTCCCGATGCGATAAGCAGAACCGTGGAGTTGAGCCTTAAAAGAAACAAAAGCTTACACTTAGCTATTAGGGAATCTCCTTGCTTTTGTTTCTTAAGTCAGAATCAGAGACTGCCACAGATTCCAAGCACATCCAAAAGGATCCATAGAAAGAGTTACTTCACAGTAATCATAAAAAGAGGTCAGATGCCGAAGGATTGCTTGTCCAAAATCTAAATTTGATAAGGTTCTTTTCCCATTTTTTATTGACTTCCTTAGGGTGTCCAGGGTCCAACTGGTCAGCAAGGGCCAAAAGGTGCACCAGGTAATCGAGGCAACCCAGGCAAGCGAGGCTCACCAGGCAACAAGGGAGCTATTGGATCTAAGGTGAGGATCCCATCAAGGAACTGTCTGCGAGATTTTGTCAAGTTTCTGGATCAGCCATGTGATGGGAATTGAAACATGCTTGTCCAGCGGAAATTCACGGGAACTTAATTATATCTATAGGTAGCTGTTGCTATCGCTTGCATGTTGAACCTGTGCACTGTTGCAGTGGAACTTTAGGAATAATTTCTTTGAAATGAGATATGACAGAGAAAAAAGGTATAATCTTGAAGAGTCTGGGTCATCCTGTGTGGTAACAGTGACATTCTCACGCCTACTCAAGAAAATGGGCAAAGGCCCAATAGTTTGTGTTCTATAGAAAAGGAACATTCGTAGTTTCGGTCATCCAACTTCCAACCACAGAATCGCTGACTTCTGAGCACACAGCTATGATGAATGGGCCATCTGATGTGAACCGTGTGATTTTGATTTTTTTTTGCCGTCCAGGGAGACACTGGCGTGCGGGGTTTCCAGGGAAGCAATGGTGCCAGAGGACCCCAGGGCGTACAGGGTGTTTCAGGATCACAGGGAGACAGAGGGGGCAAGGGCACACAGGTAAGGCTAGGCTACGGACTTGTACGTAACCATTCTCAGCTGCCAATGCCACCAAGCATATCTGTTACTAGTAGACATTTGAGTACTGTTTCCGTCATGTCACGGTGTTCAGATACATTCCTGTCACACAAAGCGAACACAAGTTTGCACACATTCA